GCTTTTGTAGTGTAATAATATACTAATGTTACAAGTTGCAATGTTATATGATTATAAGGTTAATTCACAATAATACGTATACGTATACGTATGTGTATATGTGTTTAATTATGGGTTAATTAAAAATATATGGAAGATGACGAGAAAGCTTATGGAAGGGAATGTGTCACCCACGAAATTGGTGGTGTCTTCGACGTCATTTACGATTTGTTTTTGTTTTATTTCAAGCTTTTTACATGTTATAAAATTTTAGGTTTACTTGGCTTTTGAAGATGTCAAAAGTCTTGTAAGATAGTTTTTTTCTTTTTACTAAATGTTCAATTTCTTGATGTCGGAGCAATCTCTCTTTTTCATATCAAAATCTTCTTTTTGCAAAGCAATAAATATTGTGGGTTCTAAATTTGTCATTGTTCAACCTCAAGACATCTAGAAGGTAAACAATCTTAAAAGGAAATTAGGTCCACAAAAATTAATTTTAAAAATATATGTTTGATCTAGATAAGTTTATTTATCTCCAAGAAAATGGGAATCGACTGACACTTATAACCTCACCAATCGAATTTTGTTAGAAAGTTGTAACAGTTTAATGGGTATCAAAGATAATCAAACACGTGGTTGGATAAGGAAGTAAGAATTATATGATTACAATGGTTTGCTTAAAAACACAGTCAATCACGATCTTCTAGAACCAGAATTATGGTCCATTTGGTGGTCTCTACGTGATCATCTTGTATAAGGATGACTAATGAGAGTTGCAGTTTTATTGTAATGGTCCCATTTTAAGATATATCCAACTATTGATTTGATATGAAATTAAACATGTGATTATCTTTCAAATTGTCAATTTAAAAAACACTCTTGTATGGATTATTTGGTTACTAGGTTTAAATCATTTATCAGTGATGGATTTACAGAATTTCTACGTCAAAATAGTTTGTTCATTCAAATATAGTTATGCATATTGGGTATTTGGTAATTGGTATTAATAAATTAAGATAGAATAGTCAAAAATTTAATGACCGATGATTATAAAAATGAGGGTAATTAATCTCCTCCACCCGTGATTCCGGTTCTTTTGAGTTACCTTCGGCAGAAGAATACAAAAAATAATAATACAATAATTCAGTCGACTTTTCTTACGATCGTTTTTAAAATTTTAAACCGACTTTTCCTTGATTAAGACAACTATAATCTCTCTCGTAATTTTTCT